CTCCACACACCAGCCACGTGTCTGCACACACACGTGTCTCCACACACCAGCCACGTGTCTGCACACACACACCAGCCACGTGTCTCCACACACCACCTACGTGTCTGCACACACACCAGCCGCGTGTCTGCACACACACCAGCTACGTGGCTCCATACACCAGCCACGTGCCTACACATACCAGTGACATGTCTGAACACAGATACCAGCCACGTCTGCACATACCAGCCACATGTCTGGACACACACACCAGCCACATATCTGCACCAGCTACATGTCTGCACACACACCAGCTACGTGGCTCCACACACCAGGCACATCTGCACACACACCAGCCACATGCTCATATTCAGCAGTTACACAGGCGTACCATCTACACGTTTACACATAACATACACATGTGAACTACATGCTTATACAAACCAGGTACGTGACTATATTCTAGTTATGTGCTTATGTGTACCAGCTACATGAAATACAAATGTATACATATTGGCTGGAAGCTTACAGACTGCCCACATGACTATACCTACACGTGTACATATGCAACAACACACTCATACGTACTAGGTGCCTGCTTGTACTTACCGGCTACGTGCTCATATATACACTACTCACAGGTTTCTGTGTGTGTAGCACACACACTACACATATGCACATGCACACACGAGCTACATGTTCACACATGCCAGCCACATGCACACACACACTAGCTCCATGCATAGACCCACATCAGCTCCACACACATGCACACACTAGCCACGTGCACACACATACTAGCTCCATGCATAAACCCACATCAGCTCCACACATATGCACACACTAGCCAAGTGCACATACACACTAGCTCCATGCATAGACCCACATTAGCTGCACGCATATGCACACACTGGCCACGTGCACACACACACTAGCTCCATGCACAGACCCACATCAGCTCCACACACATGCACACACTAGCCACGTGCACACACATATGAGCTCCATGCATAGATCCACATCAGCTCCATGCATATGTACATACTACCCACGTGCACACACACACTAGCTCCATGCATAGACCCACATCAGCTCCACACACATGCACACACTAGCCACGTGCACACACACGAGCTCCATGCATATGTACATACTACCCACGTGCACACACACACTAGCTCCATGCACACACCCACAGCAGCTCCACACACATGCACACACTGGCCACGTGCACACACACACTAGCTCCATGCACAGACCCACATCAGCTCCACACATACGCACACACTAGCCACGTGCACACACACACTAGCTCCATGCACACACCCACATCAGCTCCACACACATGCACACACTAGCCACGTGCACACACACTAGCTACCTGCTGTCCCCACAGTCCCATTTCTGCACCTTGTCCTGTTTTGTCCCCTCTGCTGGGGGCACCCTTCCCACTCTGTGCCTGGTGGGCTCCCAGCTGAGATGCTGCGTCTCTGGCTTCCCCCGAGAACCCTCTCTACTAAAAAGTGACTCTTTTCCTTCTCTCTGTTCTTCAAGCTGAGGTCCTTGCTCCCACGGTCTGGTCTTATGAAGCTCAACTACAAGCAACGTACTATGGTCACGGGCTTCTGAGCCATAAAAACCGTGCTCTAATTGGGCTCTAGGCTAACGCACAGACTCACTCCTGTGTCCTGGCCTAGAAGGGGCCGCGCCTGCACCCCACGCCCCCCACCTTCTCCCTCAGGACCTTCCCCATCCGGATCCAATTACCTGGCAGCATATGGTGAACTGGGGTGGCTATGTTGATGTCCTGCAGATGCTTGAGTGTCTCGGTGTGAAAGAGGCGAAGCGTGGACCCGGAGGTGAAGGCGATCCAGATCCCCACGCCGGCGATGACCATGTGGGAGACCACCATGCCTTCTTCCTGGTGGGCCTCGAGCTGGTTCTGGGGAAATAAAAGAGAAGCGACGCACGGGGCTCTGGCTGCCGCTGGGGCCTTGCCGCCAGGTCACTGCCCGCTGCTGCTGGCCCCCCCCACATCTTAACCCCCAGGTCGTATGGCTGTCCCGGCCGCGAGTGGCCAGCCGGCACTCCAGAGCGGCTCAGCGTGACCCCCAAGGACCCACAGCGAGGGGGCCACTATTCCAAAACCACAGGGACCTCCGTGTCGGCAAGACACACAGTAGCAATCAAACTGCCCTCGTTCCCGCTCCCAAGCAGTATTCACAGTACTCCCCAGTGACTGTGAACCCCAAAAGCCTGCTGGAAGGCCTACCCACCGCCGAGATGCGGCCCAACGGTCACTGGCAGGTTGGCGAGCGGGAAAGCGAGAGCGACACGGGAGCGGGGAGCGGGAAGGTCTGGGAATGTGAGGGCCAGCCAGCTCCCTGGGACACCGGTGTGGAGCCGGCAGCCCCTTCCCCAAACCCTGAGCAGGGAATGCAGGCCCACGCCCTGGCCTCGGGCGAGCCCTGTGAAGGCCTGCCGGACCCCACTGCTCCGAGCCCTCGTGGGCTGCCCGCGGGGCTCTGGGTCTGCACCCACGCCTGGCCTGGTCCCCGAAGGCCAGCTTCCACCTCTCTGCGGGACCAGGTCCTTCCTTCCAGAGCATCTGGCCGAGCTCTGCCCCTTGGCTCGGTCCTGCCGACCCTGCTCCATGCGGGCCCATGACAGGGGAATTTTCTAACTTGGCTGTAGTACAGACGGGGAGCCCCGGGCGGGCAGCAAGCAGCACTCCCTGACAGGTCTGGAGAAGGGGCGTGCAGGGGTGAAGCTTGCAGAGTCGGTGTGAAGACACGGCATCTTCAAGCAGCCCCTGAGCTCTGCGGCAGATCAAATCCTGCACGATCCTCCAACCAGCAGGAAACGAGATGAGCTTGCCTCTCTGATCTCAGGGCTGTTCCCCAACATCACGGAACAGGGGGGAGGTTTCAGAGCCCATCACCCACCAAGGAGGCCGTGTTTACACATCTTGTGTGCCCACCCCACACAGAAAGGGGTCGCCGGCCTTCACCCCTCACCCGCCCCGCGCCCTGCGTGGCACCCCGTGAGCCGAGCGGAGGGTGAACACGGGCATTTCCACCACAGTTGGCGGCAGGGCCCTTGTCCACCTGCGCCCCGAGGAACCCAGACAGGGAGCGGGGCCCCCACGTTCCGAGCTGGCCTGGACACCCCACTCCCCGGCCATCACGGGGACAGATGAGGCTTCACCCCTCTGCGGGCTTCTCGGGGAAGAAAGTTCCGTTTTGTCTCTCGGGAACCAGTACAGAATTCCCAACACGAGGGCTGCAGGAAGCGGAGGGTTAACTACACCTCACGGCCGCGGGGCGGCAGAGGACGGGCCGGGCCGCGGGAGACGGGCACGCACCCCTGCACGCTCCCCCTCCCCCTGCGAGGACAGGCCGGCGCTGCCCACGGTCACCACCACCCGTCAGCACAGCAGAGGTTGCTGGCCCTCGATCGAATCCAGCAGGCCCGGGCCCAGAACTATTTCTAGAATGTTCCCAGCAGTGCTCCTGGGCCACGTCCACCTTTCACTGCTTTCTGGCAAGTGATTCATTCCCTGCTGTTCGTCGTCCGTCCTCTGTCTTATCGGTCACGTACGCGCCTCTGTGCTCTCTAAGCGCCACGGGAGCGTGGGGTGCTGGGGTCGCGCACTGACCATGACCACTGCCGTGTGCTTCTTCCCGGAGCCGCACCCTCCGCAGGCCCGCGGGTCCCGTGGGGTCCGCCCGACTCGCTCCTCCGTGTGGGTGGTCTCCGGCAGCACCCCCTAAACTGCCGGCAAACCAACCTTCAGGGAACAGGAAGGTCAGAACATCTGCACATTAAATCCCTCAGCGGCTCACCACCGCCCGCGGCAGGGGGGCGTCCCGGCAGGAAGGACACACGCGCCCCAAGGAAGCCAGCCAGACGCTCGGCCTTCCGTGGGACGCCTCCAGCACGGTGACCCCGACGGGCCCCCTGCGAGGACTCACAGGCCCCGGGGAGAGAAGCCCCGGCTCCTCGGTGTTCTGCCCGCTCCTGTGCCAACCACGCCTCCCACCACGCCGCTGGACTCGCCCACGCCGTCCTCCCGCCCGAGGTGCTCCGCTCCTTCCCTTCCAGGGATCCCTGCTCCGCCCGGACAGCCCGGCCTCGTGCGGGTTCTCAGGCGGGAACAACTTCGACTGCTCTGTCGGCGCTGTGTTCTTGGCATCACAGCCACGATTCCGGTCTTCCTACCCACAGTCTGCGTGGCCAGAGCCACGACTGGCTGCCTTTCTGTCTTGCAGGATGCCGCACATCCGGGACAAAACCCAGAAGAGCTATCTGTGGTCCGACGGGAGGTGCTGAGCCCCGCGGGTCCGGCTGCCGCACCTGGTGACCTGCCCAGGGCGCACCCTCCACTGCCCCCTCGCCGGCTCGCGCAGCCTAAGACCATCCGCCCACGTCCGCGTGGACTGCCCGCCCCCCTGACCGCCGTCCGCCCGCGCTCTGGCACGCGAAGGAGCTCCGGGCCGGAGGCTGACACCCCACCTTCTAAGATCACAGAAGGGGCCGCCAAGCGTGTCCCAGAGTAGGCTTCACGCGTGTCTTAAAACACGTCTCAGTGAGCACTGGCAACATGGCTAAAGGTCCCTACCCTGCTGAACGGATCATCCTTCCGAAGGAGGGTCTGGACAAACATTTTCAGGAGTCCATAATGACTAGAGTTTCTCACAAGCTTGCGGAGGTTCACACCAGTCACGGCAACGTGCCCACAGCGCGCTCGCGGAGATCAAGGCGATCCCTCCCCTGAACGGGCTCCTTTCTCTCCTACCTTTCATGTGACGGTCGGAGGAATTTTTAGTCGTGACGTGATTCATTCCACTGGCTGAAAACAGTACCATTAGTATCCGAGTTTACTTAGAGGGGAGGTAAGGAATGGTCAGGGACAACTTGGCCTCTTTTTCCTCAAGTTTCGTAAGAACTCTTTTTCTATTAAGGACATTAACTCTTGGTCACAGAGATGGACGGTATTTTCTCCATTTGTCATTTACAAAACTTTCTTTCTGTACAAACACGCACACTTATTAAATGTGAACAAAAAAGGTCCTAAAACTTGACCACGTTCATTGTTTTCTTTATTATGGCAACCTCAGAGCATGTGGCATGCTTAGGAAATCTCCCCCACTGCAGAGTAATGCGAACATTCTACTGCTTTCTAACTAAGTTTGTGATTTTGTTTATGTTTTAAAATTACCTCCATCTGGAACGTTTAGGAGGAAGAAGACCCTGGGGCACGGCTCCACATTTCCACATGGCGGGCTGTCTCCTGATCCTTCACTGAATAATCCAAGTGTTGCACTGACTGGAAGGGCCACCTGACCTGGGGCCAATTTTCCCCGTGTCCTCGAAGACTCTCTATTATGTTCATACTAAATACATTTTTTAAAGTAGTGTGTTTGTGTTAATTAGCAGGTAAACGATGAACAATTCTTCCACGGACACAGGGCTACATGACGGTCAGCTGAATTATCCAGTTAATCTTGCCTTTCACAGACAGATCTGGGAGGGCCATGGGCGAGAGGCTGCCTGCCCCACCACAGGCCAGGGCTCCCTGACGGCCAGCACTGGACCTTAAGTGGGGCGGGTTCTAGAAACGCATCTCTTCATGCCGGGACTCACTTAGAACGACTTACCTCTGTCGTGTGGGTCTCGGTGCTGATTGTGAACACCTGGCCTCCAGAAGCTGCCCACAGCGTGTCCTCCGTCATGACGAGACTTCTAACTGGCAGGACGCCTAATTTTATCACTTTCTGAGGTTCAGAATTCCAGGATCCATCTTAAAAAAAAATTTTACTTTCATTCAGATTCAGTTATCTGTGCACAGGGCCTGGGGGAAAGGATCACAGATCATTTTATGCTTGTCTTTTTTTTTAAGTAAGGTCTACACCCAACGTGGAGCTGGAACTCACGACCCTGGGATCAAGAGTCACAGGCTCTACCAACCAAACCAGACAGGCACCCCACAGACCACTTTAAATAACAAGCAAAATACCATTGGTAATTGTGAGGCTGACACCTGGGTCTGGGTGTCCAGAGCTCGAGGAGTTGGCACCATGTCCATGAGGCAACCTAACTCAGTAATGGAGCAACGTTCTGAGCCCAGTCCGGCCACCTGGTATGAATCATTCACCCTGCGTCTCGGCTTTCTTCCCTGTAACGTGGGGACAATACCGCCACGCGCCCTCGGGGCTGCGTGAGAGCATGAGGCGCGACCAAGCGATCAAAGAGCTCAGCGCCGTGCCCGGCACGCAGGTGCGCGGTGAGTCCTCTCATCTACAACGACAACACACAGAACGGCTCAGTCGTCAGTACAAGGTTCTATATCCGAATCAGCGTGCGACGAGGCTTCCATTTCCCCGCGACCGGTTCTTCCCTTTGAGATACCCCTGGCCACAGACTGTGTTGTCAGGACCCACCGCATCTTTAGTGCATTAAAAAAAAAAGAACTGGGGGAAGAGGCTTCCCTCACGTCTCATGAACTCGCTCCATTCCTCCAGCACAGGCAGGGATGCAATATTTTGCTTTGAAAATATTTCCAAAGACCTACTGATGAGGTTTGTCACACTTTATGTGAAGTGTGAGTCAACAGGCAACTGGGATGGCAATAAAAAATATTTAAAGCAAGACTTCATGTACGTTTTCAAAGTGACTGTGTAATTACCCTGTGAAACATTAAAATACATTCTTAGATTTTCAAAGTAACCATTAATTAAGCCATGCTGCCTAAGAACACAACTATAACTGTTAGTCCGCCAACGCCTCTGATCCTAACCAAATAAAGCACTCTGCTCAAGGAAGGGGGCAAGGTCTTGGCTCCAACCGAGTGCTTGCTGCTGGGTTCCATACTTGAACCACTGAACCTTTTCATCCAAACCCTGTTCATGAGGACCTGCCTTAGCCGAGGCGTGCAGACACCAAGAGGCGCCTCGGCAAGTTTTGAACTTTGTAGCCTACTTTCAAGTTACGGTTCAACTGTAGTGGAAGTGCTTTTACGCTGCAATTAGGCCAAAAGATGCTGCCGGACAATGATCGGTTCCAGTGGATACTGAGCTGCCGTTCACATGTAAGATCTGCACCGAAACCGGGGTATCATTGTGCGGGTAAGCACACGCACACACACAGTCACGCATGCATACACATGCATGCAGCCATACGTGCACATGTGAGCAGAACCACAGGCAGTCCCACGTGCACACACATGCACACGCACAGTCCTACATGCACCCACACGGGGTCACATGTGCACACACACAAGCACACAGGCTTTTTCGTCCAGGACTCACAACCCTACGAAGCCCTGCAGCCTTCACTTCCGATGGGATTACAGCAGTTCGGGGTGCAGATACAGTTCTCCCCAACACACACAAGGGCCTGAGAGTGCAGGGCCGAGGATGCGCGCTCCACCTGACTGCCCCACGGTGTCTGCGTCCTCGGATGGCCGTCACATGGCCACTGCCGAGTCCTCTGAAGCAAGACATCTGCTGCAGACATGCTATTTTGCTTAAGGATTAACTTCTAACAATTGAACTTTGTTCTCTGAGCACCTAAGCTACTCTTTCTGCAGATCCCGGGCTCTGGGCCCTTGCACAAAATCCCCTGGGGGTGGCAGGGAGGGCACACCACTGGGCACTGGGCTGTGGGCGTCAGCTCCAGCGGACAGTCCACCTGCCTGGGGACAGCCTCTCTTTGGAGTTTGCACTCTAGACCTGAGTGCTCAACCAGGCTGCCCAACCACGGTGGGCCCCACTACATAAGGATTACATTTTGAGCCTACAGAATTCCAGATTTCAAGCTCCCTAAAAGTCAAAGACTGGCAACAGTGCTTGGCTGAGAAGTGTGCAAAGGGCGGTGGCCTCCAGCCAGGCAAGTCTCCCGCCTCGGAGAACACAACTGCCGAGAAGAGACCCGTCTCCAAAGACGACATTCAGAGGGCCCCCGGGTGCGCACGTGAACGCGTGCTCAACAGCGCTCAGCAGCAGAGAAACGAACACTTGTGGGAATGGCCGTCCTCCAAAAGACAAGAGGTAACAAGGGTTGGTGAGAACATGGAGGAAAGGGAGCCCGTGTGCACTGTCGGTGGGAACATAAACTGAGCAGCCACTCTGGAGAACAGCGTGAGGTTCCTCGAGAGATTAAAAGCAGAGCCACCCTCCGACCCAGCAATCCCACTCCCGGGGACTGATCCGAAGGAAATGAAAACACCAGTCAGAAAAGGTAGACGCACCCCCACGTTTGCCGCAGCATTATTCACAGTCCGCAGCACAGGGAGAAGCTCTGAGTGTCCATCGATGGTTGACTGGATAGAGATGTGCTGTGGAGTATCATTCACCATGAAAACCAAGGAAACCCTACCGCCTGTGAGGACACGGATGAGCCTTGAGGGCATTATGCTACGTGAGGTAAGTGAGACAGAGAAAGACGAATACCACACGATCTCACTCATGTATGGAAGCTAAAAACCTCCAGCTCGCAGAAGTACAGAGGGGAGGCCACGGAGGCTGGGGCGCGGGTGGGGGAGATGGTGCTTGAAGGCCCACACTGGCAGCCAGAGGGTGAGTCCTGGGGACCTAACGCACCGCACAGACCCGAGAGTCCACACCACTGCGTTATGAGCGTCCCAGCTGTAAGAGAGAGGATCCGAGGGGCTCTTACCACGGGAAGAGAAACGGTCCGTACGTGACGGGAGGCGGGGGTTAGCTAATGCGTCGGCGATGGTTCTGCAGCGCATACGCGGATCCAAACCTTAAACGTGCGCCGTGTTATATGTGAATTATGTCTCAGTAAAGCTGGGGGAAAGAGAGAAGGTTTCACCAGCCCCAAATTAAGTAAATATAAACCCTGAATAAATTCATTGCACCGGAAGAAATAGACATCAATATCCCAAGTCAATTTAGGAAGCTCAGGAGACGGAACTGAAATCACGGTACTTGCAGACTTCCAGATGTCAGCAATTCCCACGAAGTCCATCTCTGCCAGAGCAGCAGAAAGCACACCGTGAGCACACCACCCAAGGCAGAGACAGTGGGGAAAAGAAACACAGAGCGATGCCACGACAAATATTCACCTGCACCTAAAGCAACGCCTACTTCATTCTAAATACAGCTGAGCCCACAGACAAACCTCGCGTCTGAGCCGCAGTGCTCACTCCTCGGGGCACACCTGCTGGCCGGGCCCTAAGCCCGGGTGCTCCCGGGTCTCGGCGGCGCACAGGCTTCCCGCCCTTCCCAGCTCTCTATCCCTGGGTGTGCAGGCAGGGCTCCCTTGCCCCTGGACAGTGACGGGCGCCCCTCAGGCTCGGCTCCACCTCCTCCCTGCAGAAGGCTCAGACCCGGCACCTCCCAGTGCTCCCCAGGCACCCTGAGCGCTGTTCACCCTCGGTGAACTGTTCGTCCCCAGGTGGGAGAAGTGGGACTTGCTCCCATCTGCAGCCGCGGGTGAGGCAGGAGGCAGAGCGGCTGGATGGCTCCCCGCCTCCACCGCCAGGATCCGCGACCCGGGGCCCACACTGGAGATACCCATGTGCCCCAGGAGGCTGCAGACCCGCACTGTGACCCTCTGGTGTCCCCGGAACCCACCGGAACCCTGGGCCAAACCCGAGACAAGAGGAGGAGCCCAAGCGGGAGGGACGACGGCCAGCACATGCATCCAGGTGGTCCTGACCGTTGGGCACAGACCTGGTCCAGCCACTCACGCGGGCAGCCTGCGGTCCCCTCCACCCAAGAAGACAAAGCCTCGCGGCCCTGAGTGAGGGCAGGGGCAGCGAGGGAGCCGGGGTCTCAGCCGTCGGGAGAAGAACGCACACGGACCTCAGCACTTTGTAGAACGGGGAGGCGTGGGCCGGGAGACCCGTGTCTGAAACCACTTCCCACCCGTGCGGCTGGGGCGGCTGGGGGTGCTCGCGCTTCGCACTGTCCTCTTGGGGTTGAGCAAGCTGCACGTGCCTTGGGACGCGCGGTGATAGACGCTCGCGGGGACGTGACCCCGGAACACGAAGCTCCGTCCACAGCAAACCCCCAGAAACCGCCACGAGACTGGACGTGTAGACGTGCCGCACACAGTGTAGACACAATTACCTTCTGCTTTTGCGTAGACGGCCACGGCGCCGTTGACCAGGCCGGCGTACAGGCTCTGGGGCGTGCAGGCGAGGCTCATGACCGTGGACTTGTCCGGGGTGAAGAAGTGCTGCAGACGCACCTTCTTGGAGCCTTGACTGCTTTTATAAACGGAAATGCTTCAAGAGAGACACAAGAGCCAGTAAGTGCGTGTGTCGGGCGGCAGGGCCCACACGAGCGTGCCCAGCAACTCCAGCCCCCGCCCCGCACGCGCACTCTGCTGCCACCCAATCTCGTCCCGTATTGTGAAGGAGAAACTGTGGAAGAAATTACTTCCTCCTAGTGAGTTCACATCAGGAAAACCGCCGTAAAGCGCCTCTGAACGGTGGCAGGGTGGAGTCCCCGTGCGGCACGGACCAGGCCCCGTTAGACTCCAAACGTGAGCAGTCAGCTACTTGTAAAAGCAGGACCAAGAAGAGACCGGTCAGGGGAAGCCGCCAGGCAGAACTGGGACGTTGCCTGCAGTCGCCATTCCTCCTTGGGGGTTTCCCGCGGTCGTTCCCACGGGCGGGTGGCGACCGAGCCGATCCCGCCGCGTGGTGTAACCCCTAACAGACGGGGGTGACTGACCGACCCGGCTCGTCGAGCTCCTCCTCGTGGAGCAGCGCGGGGCTCACCTCCCCTCCTCGGTCCCCAGGCAGATGGTGGGCACGCCCGGCGCCCTCCCGGCCGCGGTCTCGGGCTCCGCGTGCCGCTCCTCCGCGGGGATGAACACCATGCACAGGATTCGAGACTCCACGTTGAAGCACTCAATGACTTTGGGGTTGGAGTTTTGAAACGAGACGATGGCAATCTGGCCCATCTGGCTGGTGCAGCTTCCGATCTGGCGGGGGGAGAGGAGTGCCTGGAACTTCCACAGCACACCGACCCCTGACCTCCGTGGCCACCGGGAGAATTCGTGTCGCCACGGGAACCAACACACTTCACAGAATCGAGAGCTGTTTACACCATCTGCTAGCAGAGCCCGCCTTTCCTTTTCAACGTATGGGGTTACTTTCCCTTTTAATTTTCGGAACGAGAGCCCAGTTTTGGTTTTAGTTCCTATTTCTATCCCTGAGAAACCGTAGTGGTGGCGGCCGGCTCAGGCACAGTGAGAACCGGTCTTAAACTAACCCCAGCGTCAGACACGCTCACCCAGGGACACAAGGCCTTAAAAAGAGAGCGCGTCAGAGCGCCTCCCAGCGTGGTCACCAGTGTGTGAGCCCGAGGCCCTGTGCCATGGCCCTGGGACGCTGGCCGGCCGCGGGCACCCCCGCGAACCTATCTGCCGGGTCACTGGACACCCCACAAGCTTCGTTCCTGACTTGAAGTCCAATTGTTTTTTCAGTGGGAAAGAGTCACATCTTGTTAACGGAAGAATCAACAGGACAGAGCACTCAGGGTCCTGGAGGGAAAGCCGGCCCGGGGGGTGGGGCGGGCACTGAGGCTCCCAGCTCCCATTTCCTCTGGGCCAGCTTTGGCAACGTCGTCCCACCCCCCGTACTCGTACCAAAGCGTTTCCATGCCACAAAGAAGCGTCCTGCTTTGACAGCCTTCCAGGGGAAGGGTGCCAAACCTCCAAGCCCTGCTCGGGCTGGCGGGGCGAGCGGGGGTGGGGATGCAAGCAGGAGAGGGAATGAGGCACCAACTACGGTCTGAGTGATGGGAAAACTTCTCTGCTAAAATTCGAAAACCTTAGGGAAATAAGCCCATCCAGTCCTTCACAGCTGGGTGCACAGAACGGCCCAGTTACTTGGCCTGCTCCTTCTCGACGCTCAGGGAGGAGCACCGACCGCACAGAGGCTGGGGCTGTGGGAAGGTAGAGAGGTCACCTGAGGGCAGGGCGCCTGGAGGAGGTGGTCAGGGTGCGGTGCCGGAGGACAGCAGGGCAGCCATCGGGGAGCAGGTCTGGGGGGCACCCCAGGAGACCTCAAAACACAGTGCACAAGGATCATCTCCCGTTTGCAAGAACCAGAAAGGCCCACTGCGATTGCAGCATAATTCAAATGCAGTATTTCATTTGGAACTAATCAATTTTAATTGCAAAGTTTCCAGGGTAAAAAGCCAGCAATGTCTTGGAAGGGGGTAAAAAACCCCATGCAATTTAACCACCCAAATTGAAGAAATATTTAAATGACTCTCACATTAGCTAAATTGGTTGTCTCTGGGCTGAATCTAATCTGGTAAAACTTTAGATGAAAAAGAAAAGACAGAAACATTTTAATTCCTGAGACTTGGACACCTTTTCCAAAAGCGTTCAGTCCTCTCTTGTGGTTTGTGACTTCCATGTGTATAAACACAGCCCGGGACATGCGGCGACCAACGGCAAGTTCTGCATTTGAACCTCTCAAACCCACACTAACCACAGACCCCTCAGGAACCCATATTATAGACACACAGCGCGTCTTACCCACAGGAAGCCATGCGCCGTGGACAGCGAATCCGGCTGAGCCTCATTATTCAAGCAAGGTTCAGGATTGTAAGCGGCACATTCGATCTAATGGGGAATAAAATCAAACACCCCCATTTAAAACGGGACCGGGAGGCATCCTGGCGACACAGTATTTTTTTTTTTTTAAGATTTTGTTTATTTATGGGGCGCCTGGGTGGCTCAGTTGGTTAAGCGACTGCCTTCAGCTCAGGTCATGATCCTGGAGTCCCTGGATCGAGTCCCACATCGGGCTCCCTGCTCGGCGGGGGGTCTGCTTCTCCCTCTGCCCTC